TCTAAGTGTACCACACATATTACTTAACAGTTACCAAATGGAAGCTCTCTATTTGGAAGACACCACTTGATGTGATGTCATGGGAAGGACACAACATATCCTGTGTCAGATTCCTGCCGAAACACAGGAGAAATGATCAGACAAATCCAGATAGTGTGGCCTGGACTTTTAAAAAATGTCAGTGTCATGACAGACAGAAATAGGACAGAGGACTGTCCCAGAGTAAAGCAAAGTAAAACAAAAAACCAGTAAAGGCAATGCATGACCTGTGATTGGTTTCTGAATCTCCCTTTGCATCCAACCCAAAGAGCTATGAAGAACACTTTTGGGACAAGTGTGGAATTTGGTGTATGGACTGTTTATTAGATAATAATAAACCATTTTTAATTTTTGGGGTGTGTGATAGTGATACACTGATTATATATGACAATGTGATTTTTTTGCTGAGGTGGTACATACTTGAAATATTTGGAGATGAAATGTTCATGCTGTCTGTGATTTTCTAATAGATCAGTTAAAACCACCCCAATACAAATAGATGAAATCAGGCAAAATGTAATAATTAGTGGATTTGGGTGAAGCATATTATGCTATTAATTGCTACATATGCTATTAATTGCTACTTAGTGCTGCTTACTTTTCATTTTAAAGTAAATGATGTTTAACTTTAAAATGTTTATTTAACATTTCTTATATACCAAGCACTGTTTTAGGTGATGAAAGAAGAAGAGGAATATATGATATGGTTCTTGTACTCAGGAGTTCATACTTTAATATTAATAATATGTTTTGGGCATTTAAGCCAACCAAAGCATGAGTGATAGGTGCTATAACAATAATCATAACAGTTCTCATTTTATAGAGAAGGAAATTAAGATACAGAAAGATTAACTAACTTGAAACTACAGATGAAACTATAGATACAAAGGGACAGAACTAGGATTTGAACGCAGGCTGCCTGGGTCCTTAGTCCATGCCATGAAATGCTAAGGAAACAGTTAATTTTGCTTGGAGCATGGAGACATTTGGGAAAGGTTCTAGACCTTTGACATCTGACTGGGTCTTGAGGGGATGCATGGGATTTTGCCAAATGATGGTGAGGAAGACCACACAGGCAGATGAATAGCAACATTGGTCAAAGAGGTACGAAAACACTTCGTGTGTTGGGAATGACAAATAGTTCAAAGTGGCCGAACTATAAAAGTAGCAGGAAGGTGAGTTGGGGCCATATTGTGAAGATTATCCATATGGAAGTTTGAACATTTTTTTTGTAGATGATGAAGGGGTAGCCACTGAAGGACTTTAAACTGGGACATGTTTTAAAAATTGTGGTGGCAGTGTGGAGGCTTTTTTCAAGACAGTCAGGCTACCGGTAAGGCATCAATGTTTTCATGTAGGAATTAGGATTGCCTGAACTAGGGCAGAGGAGAGGGTGGAAACGAGGCATGGTTGGGACCAGCAGAGGGCAGTGTGGATGCGGAAGGAAGGCGCAGTGAAGACTGAAAACAACTTAAGGTTCTAGTTTGTTTGACTTAGTGGGTAGTGACACTGTTAATTTATGAAAGGGAAGAGGAAGGTAATAGTATGGTGAGGGAAATAGTTTTGGATATGTTGAGTTTCAAGTATTTGCTGAACTTGTAGGATGAAGTTCTCACTTGCTGTTATGTTCTAGTTTATGTTGGTGTTAGTCCATGGCAAGATGTTGTTCCTCAGGAAATTTTTCTAGAGCACTTGAGTTCACATTTGTCACATGGTTTTCAGTTACTTCTTACTTTACCATAAATTATGGAATAGTCAGCTGTAGCATGTTTGGTGATAAAGTATATTTTATCCATTAATTATAAGTTCATGAAAGTGGGTTAAAGGTATTCACATGCATTCAAGTCTGGTGTAGTTGAACTGACTGTATCATGGAGTTAACATTTAAACCTGATTCAACTACTGATATATGATTTTAAAATCCTATAGCCTGGGAGCTTTTCTCAAGGTGTATCATTTTTGTTTTTTGCTGCAGAGGAAAGAAAATCACTTTTAACAGTTCTTAAAATTGTGTGTGTGTGTTTTGTCCTTGCATGTGAAAATTTGTAGCATTTAAAATAATCTATATATATGATAAGCATTAGAATACAAAAGAGTGGTATTACAAAAAAAGAATAACTACTTCTTAAAGTGATTGATAATTCATAGTTATAAAAATGAAAGTCAGCAAGAGACAGGCTAGATCTCAGCAGGGTTGTTCCTGGCAGAGTGTGTTTTTATGCTCTTGGGTTGGCTTGAATTATTTGGTGCTTTTCTGTTAGCGGAGAAGAGGGCTATGCTTTGAAGAAGTCAGGGAAGGAAGTGCAGAGGAACAAAAAACACCAAATGGCAGCTTAGATCACTCTTAATTTTTCAGAGCTTGGCCTTCTCTAAAGTCACATTTAGCAGGAACATTAATTAGATTTCAGTGCCCCACTGAGTTTTAAAATTAAACATATTTCTAGAACCATCTGCACATTTTATCACTAATAATATAATGAAGAATATGTTAAGTCTTTTGAAAAGTGGAATTTATAACAATACCTTTTGCTCACAAGCGATCATGTTTTATTATGAAAAACTGATCAAAATTTTTATAAAGAGTTAAGTAATTAACAAGCTTTAAGAATATGCCTAGCCTGGCCAGGCGTGGCTCAGCGGTTGAGCATCGACCTAGGATCCAAGAGATCAAGGTTCAATTCCTGGCCAGGGTACATGCCTGGGTTGTGGGCTCAATCCAGTCAATGATGACTCTGTCATCAATGATGTTTCTATCTCTCTCTCTCCCTCTCCTTTCCTCTTTCTGAAATCAGTAAAGATATATTTTAAAAAAGAAAAAAAAGAATATACCTAAAGTCCAGTCGGGTGTGGCTCAGCAGTTGAGCATCAACCTATGATCCAGGAGATCGAGGTTCGATTCCCTGTCAGGGCTCATGTCTGGATTGCTGCTCGATCCCCAGTCAGGGGCGGGTAGGAGGCAGCCAATCAATGATGGCTCTCTCATCATTGATGTTTCNTGACTCTCTCATCATTGATGTTTCTCTCTCTCTCTCTTTTCCTCTCTCTGAAATCAATAAAGATATATTTTTAAAAAAGAAAATATATACCTAAAAATAAAATTCTATAAAAATATTCTTACTGGTAAGAATCTTTCCCTAAATTCAGGGTTTCCTTTGGGATTTCATGCCTATTTTAAATCTGAAAGTATTGATGGTGGGCATATGCCACCTTTCTGTTTGGGGCTGGATTACAGACAGTCGCTAGGAGCTACTGCTTTCATCCAGGAGTGCAATTGCCTGAGCTAGGGCGCGGACACGATGGAAGCAAGAGACACAGGTGTGGGCTAAAAGTTCAGGTCCTGAAACCAAGTTGCCTGACTTCAAACCCCCCTTCAGACTTGAACTTACTAGATGGGGGAATTTGGACAAGTTGCTTAACTCTTTTGTGCCTCTGTATCCTTATCTGTAAAATGAGAATGACTATGCTTACTTCATAGGGTTGTAGTGAGCGTGCATTCCGAGCATAAAAATGTATTCTCAGAATAATTTTCTTTCCTGTGAGTCTTCCATTACCATTGCTTATACTTACAGAGGCCTTCAGAAAAGAAAGTGTGGGGGTTGAGAAAAATGAACGAAATAGCAGAATCTGAGCTCACTTATAAGAAAAAATTATGCTAGGGTTTTTTTCTCATGAAAATGAAATAATTAAGTACCTACTCTGTGCCCAGCACTGTTCTGGGCAGTGGGGAAACAGCAAACATGCCAGCCTTCCAGGAATAGGATGGTCAGGGGAGAGCGTGGGTTAGGTGTGCAGGCATCCTGGTGCTGAACTCTGGACGGAAACAGACTTGCTCACCTGGTCATGGGCAAAAGTCACCACAGACTTCTTGGCTGAGGAGGTGTTTTTTCTTGCCTGAAAGGATGGAGAACAAATGTGCCTTCTGAGAGTTGTTGGGCTCCCAAGAAAAGGGAATGAGGGCTGTATGCCCAGTTCTTTTTCTAAAATTATTAGTCAGGTAGTCACTCTACCACCTTAGGAGTGAGTAGGAGATTGGACAGCAGACCCAGTTACTTAGGAAAACAATATCCCTCTCCTGGCAACCAAAGAAGTGAGGAAGGAGCACTTTCTGTATCACCTTCCCCATTCCCCAGCTTTGCCCCAAGTCCCAATTTAGTGTGACATACAAGACTGTTTTCATTCAGCCTCATCTAATGCTGAATTATCTCATAACTGCGTGTACCCATGCTTCTTAAAATATTCTTTCCCACATTGCACGTGATGAAAATCCTGATAATCCTCCCATTCCTTAGGTCAGACTCATCTTCTGACATCCCTCGGTGGGTTTGATGGCTCCTTCCACCATGGCCTTCCTCTTACCCCCCCCCCGTCCCTGTGTCACAGCACCTGCCACAGCTTGTTTCCACACCAGCCACCCTTAGCAAATGGCAAACGTCATTTTTCGGCAGGAAATGTTACTTACTTTTGTGAATTTTTCACTAGCACAGTGATAATTAATCCGCAAATCAGTAAATACCCAGTTCTTCTTTTTATAAACCAACTCTGTCACTGAAAACATTAAGATGCTAGAATTCAGTAAAATGGGCGGGGGGAGGGGGGAGAAGAGAATGGGATTTTGAAGTTGTGTTTTTGTTGCTTCATAAAAGATATTTCAAAATATTTAAAAATTTTATTTTGGTTTAAATTTGTGGAATACAGCCTGTTGGAAAATTTCAACAATTCCTTTCTGTTTACCTACCCCAATGAAGTACCTCCTGTGTATCTTTAATTTTCACTACAAAATACTATTGATATAACTGTAAAGTTAATATAACCTTTAAAGTAAGATAGGATATTTGCTATCTAATATAGCATAACTCTTTCAGTAGTCCTTTTTTAGCAGCATTTTCTTTGACATTGTTTTGAAATTTGTAAGTAAAGAAGCCTTGAACAAATAGTAACAGTAAATTTCAATTTTATTTTAGCAAAAGAACCTGGAAATTGAAAGAACTGCTAAATGGTTGAAAATGCTAAAAGGATGGGAAAAATACAAGAACACTGAAAAGGTAATTAAAAATAATGTTACTTCCTGGTGAAACTATACAAATTCAATGTGGATTTTCCCAGTAAAAGTTCCTCTTTAATTTTAAGACTATTGCATTCATATTCTTAAAAAAATTTTTTTAAATTTAATTTAATGGAATGCCTCAAATTAGAAATCTTTATGTTGGAACAGAATGCCCAATTCATATTGGTTTCAGCAATTAAGAGGATGTGTGTTGGGCAGTCCAGAGGTAGGCTGGGTTCAAGAGTGGTTTAACCCAGCTGCTCAATTACATTGCCGGTGACTTAATTTCTTTTCACTTCTCTTCTGCCTTCTGCAGTCTCAGCTTCACCTTGAGGCTTGCTTCCCTTTGGGATCACAATCATTGCAGTAGTTTCAGGCTTCATATTCACATGTCACACTGCTCAGAAAAAGAGGACTGGCTTCTGAACTCTTTCCTGAAATAGGAGCGATCTTTTTTTTCCAGAATCTTCTAGCAAACCTCCCCTTAAATCTTTTTGCCCTGCATTGAATTTGTGCACAGTTTTAAACCAATTAAAAAATACACACTTATTAATATCACCACCAATCTCACCAGGAAGTCTTTAAATATTAGTGAACTGTGAAGTTTATGGTGGTGGAAATTTTCTAATTTTGCTTGAAAGGTCGAATGTTATCAATGGCACCAAATGCTATCAGATATTTTCCTTGAAGTGACAGGTTTCATTTATTTTTGAGAAAATGTTAAATATCCAAATCTGGTAACTATAGTTGGGTTAGTCAGTCATTCTTTCAAGTAATAAGATATTTAATGAAAAAAGCAGTAGCTTCAGGTCATGATTCAGACAATTTTGTATGTGCTTTTTCTTGAGGCCACCATTGATTGTACTTGGATGTGCAGAAAAGTGCTCTGTGTGTACTTCCCATGTCATTGCTCAGAATATTAATAAGATGTGTATTCAAGAATTGAAGTTTCATAAAATTAATAATTTCTACTGCTTCATCTTAAGGAAAACTGACTTGTATTAAATTGTGAGTGGAAAATACTGTGACCACTAGTGTAGTGCTGCTAACGCCACGGTTTGTGTCAAGGTGCCAGTAGTTTTATGACCATTGCTTTTCTGCTACAGTGCAAAAGTCACTACAGTGAAAAAGGCAATGAACATTTTATTATTATTATTAGAACAGCTTTGACCCCGTGGACCATGCTTTGAGAACGGCTGACAATCTAAGTGTTGGCTTCCTCATAGTGAAATAGAGATAATCACACCCATTTCAAAGGGATGGAAAGTAAGTGATGAATGCACACACATCACTCAGCACACACCTTGCAGAAAGTAACCATTCAGTAAGTGTTCACTACTGCTGTTAGTTTTTTGAAGAAAGTTTGGACAATAAAATTTTTTTAGCCCTGCCGGGTGTGGCTCAGCGGTTGAGCGTCTACCTAGGATCCAGGCGATCGGGGTTCAATTCCCGGTCAGGGCACATGCCCGGGTTGTAGGCTCAATCATTGATGACTCTCTCATCATTGATGTTTCTATCTCTCTCTGTCCCTCTCCTTTCCTCTCTCTGAAATCAATAAAGATATTTTTTAAAAAAAATTTTTTTAAGGAAAAAAAGAAATCTTCATAGACCTACAGCAAAACACAAGTGAGTTAACTTTTGGGATTTCTGTCTGTTTCCTCACACTTTTTTTTCTGTGTATTATTTCTTTCCTTTTTGCATAGATATAAGTTGCTGTATGTCAGCATTTGCCGATAAGGATTCCAGGGAAAGAAATCAGTTTCTTAGATTCTAATGAATATTACATAGAAGCAGAATTGCCTAATGGTTAGCAACAGACTCTGAAGCCAGGCTATCCTGGGTTCAGACTCCAGCTCCGCCACTTTAGTAGCTATGCGACCTGGGGGAAGGTATTTTACCTTTTTCTGACTTAGTTTGCTCATCTGTAAAATGGGGATAATAATAACACCTACATCTCAGAGTTATTTTGAGGATTAAATGTTAGTTCACGTAAAGCATGTAAGTGTTGCTTATCATTACACGAGAAAAGGCTCTCTGGCTGAATAAAGTTGGAAAAATCAGAGCTAAACATAGTTAAGCAATGTTTCTTTACTACAGGGCTTTTGAGAGTCTTTAATATTATAACATGTGGTAGGAACTTTTAAGAGGGACCTTATATTGCATGAAACTTATTTAACCATGGAAATCTTTTTGTCCTGGGGTATCTCACAATGCTAAAGGCACTTTTCTTTTTGAGCATCTTAAGTATCCTTCTTTAAAGTCTATTAGTCTCTGTTTTATTTTCATCAGGAGTGAGTTCCTTGCTGATTTCATTATCTGTGCGTTTGAGCATTAGGTTGGAAGTCAAAATGTTTTTAAGAGGAATCAGTTCAAAGTAGAGCATTAGTTACAATGCCTGTGCTCTTGTGTAATATTTTACTGTGTCTCTCACATTGGCCTAAAGTTGACAACTGTACTTAACTTTTTGTCTTTGTGGAAAGATTGCTCAAGTGGTAATTACAGTGTAAATTTTGGTGCATTGCACCTATGCTTTACTCTCACATTCAGTCTAATAAAATATTTGTAGAGTTATATGGCTTTATGTTCTTGTCTAGTATGCATATATCTATTATAGCATATAAGCCTCTGTAAAATAAGCAATTCTACTGGGCTATTATTCTGCACAGCAACTCTGGCTAATTTAGTTCCCAGTTAGATTTTAACAGAACTATTTCTTTGATGTATAATTTTAAAGCACTTTCCCACAATCATAATGCTAGAATTATTGGATGATATATAAGGTCCAATTTGGTATGAAGCAGAATGCACCTTCTAAAAGAATTGCTGCTTTCAAATCATACCTACTTTTAAATTGCATTGAAGTAAAAAAGTGGCATGTATTTTTCTTCTCCTCTAAGAGGAATGGGTATAAGTTTTCTCTCCACAGATTCCTTATTTATAAAGTAGTAATACAAAGAAGTTTGTAGAAATATCTTGAAATGAAAATATAGCCCTCATAGAGAATATTTGGATTTTTAGGATACAGACTTTGATGAAAAGTTTCCATTAAGGTTGTTTGTGTTGACTGTGTGTTCTCATAGTGACTGCCCCCTATGTACAATAGTATGCATTTTTAAAATATAGTCTGTTAAATGACATTATCTCTGTTAAGTGTAGCTCATTCTGATTTAACTAATGATGTAAGACGTCTGAGCTAAGTCACAGCAGGATACTGACTACAGACACACTTTTTTTTTTCTTGATCAAATAACTGAATGGGCCTTTGTTGGTCAAATAACTAATGGACTCATACTAGCCAGCATTTTATTTTACTGATGGGGAAATGGACGCATCATGTTTAGAAACAAAATTTAAGCAAGATATCATATGGCCAGACTTAGGGGCTCGTTCATTGTACCATCTTTCACACTAGCTTTTCCTTTTGGTGTTTGTCAGTAAGAGGTCAGAGGGAAATAGAATGCAGTTATAAGAGGCAGGAGGGCCTGTGGATGGTTTAAAACTTTTTTAGATCCAACTTGGGAGCCTCTTGTCTATTTGGAGGCAGAGATCAAGGAACCAGTGGAGCAAGGATGATTATAGAAAATGGGGAGGCAGTAAGGAGCATCAGCAGCTCTGAAGTGAACTTGAGCTTCATCGTGTACACTGTAGTTGTGAAAGTCCCTACAGAATTGAATCAGACTTGCTGTGCTGACAGGTTTGCTCACTGGCAGCCATGATGACGTGGACTGGCACACTTACCACTGTTTCAGAATCACTCAAGTTTGAAAGAGGTATTGAAAACAGGTGAATTAATGGAAAGTGTGTTTTTTTTAGTTGATGGATTTTTAAATTATCTGACTGAAGTAGAGTGCTTGATTTTATTATATTATATTATATTATTTTATTATTTTATTTTATTATTTTTTTGACTATGAGAGAACATTTATTAAAGCTGGGAACAGTAGAACTTCCTAGGGACAGTAAGACAAGAAAGGGCTTAGCATAGAAGAAGCAACAGAAGAGCCTAGGCTGGGCTGCCCTGGCTCTCTGGGAAGTCAGAGAAAAGGAAACCTTGGGGTCAGGTTCAGGGGACTAGCTGCCTCTGCTCATTGCTGTTGTGGTTGCAAGTCTCATGTGGTCCCCAGAGTTTGGAGATGCGTCCCTGCGTGGGAAGAAGAAGGGAAAAGTAATAAGGCATCGGGAGGGGGATGCTCCCCAAAGGGAGAGCATACTGGGTCCTTTTATTTCTCTCTTTAAGGACCGTTTCAGGGGAGTATCTCAATGGAATATTCATCAGCTTTCCAGGTGTGCTCTTTCAGGGTTGTGGTCTCCACCTGTTGGTTGGTGCCAGGGCAAGGGGCCGTTAGTCAATGTATCTGATCCTGAAGCAGCCACGGCCACTCTTATCCGGCCTGGAGCTGAAATACAACTGAGGACTAGATGTTATCTTTAGAGAGGGAATGCTCAGGGGGCCTAAACCGCATGACCAGGGATATGCTGGGGGAAGATAGGTTCCCTAGGGACAAAGTTCTTGTTTTCCCAGTTCTGCCCCTTGCTAGGCATCCGGGGCTTCTTGCCTTGGTGAGTTTCTGTGCCTGGCCCATCTAACACAAACTGTTTACTCTCAAGTGTACTTAGTTTAGGGAAGATAGGATTTACTAACTGGCTGCCAATTGCTGTTTAACAATCTGTCTCAGCTTCCCTATTCCACTTGTCCTGGCTTACTGGCCTGTCTCATTCCCCCCTCAGAGACTTCCATCCCTAAAATCTTTTAGAAGTGATGAGGGGGATGGTCTGTCTTCAGAAATTGCTTCCTGCTGACAAGGGTTGTGGTCCCTGCCTATGTAGGATGTGGAAGTCTCTCCCTGCCTGACCTAAGAGAGCCAAGGAAATGGGATCAGAGACTGGAACAGAGAGTCTCTCAATTGATTTTTCCAAAATAGGGAAAGGCTGGAATCCTTGAAGCATCATCATCTTGATATGGAAGTGTTGTATTATTTCAGAAGCAAAGTTAGTAGA